TCTCTCTCTCTCTCTCTCTCTCTCTCTCTCTCTCTCTCTCTCTCTCTCTCTCTCTCTCTCTCTCTCTCTCTCTCTCTCTCTCTCTCTTGTGTGCGATCTTGGTGTCATTGCTTTGGCTACCTTAGAGCTGCGTTCCCTGCGCCCACACGATAGACAATAGGCGATGGTTAGGGAGTAGGATGGGGCAGCTGGTGGTGGTGGGGCCTAGCACAAAAACCGAGCATTTTGCCAGTAGCTGTACCTCCGATCTACTTCACCCACCCCCATAGCAGTGTCTAAGGGCATACTCACACACACTAGGCCCTTTTTTTTGTTTTTTTTGTTTTTTTTGTTTTTTTTCCACACACTAGGCCCTCAAAATCGCAAAATCGCAAAATCACAAAATCATCGGCCAGATTGAGTCCTTGTAAAAGGAGGACTCTATCTGGGCGCTCATTTTGTGATTTTGAGGGCCAAGGCCAACAGTCCCACACACCGCACACAACCTACACCGTGACACAGGTGAGTTGGTTCCCTAGTAGGGGATGTCGGGGGTGTCAGGAGATACTGCACCTTACCGTGGGGCCGGAATGGGCTCCAGGGACACACGAGGGAACGGATGATTCTCAACTATTTATCATCACCACACAATAGAACATCGGAATAACGTACTTATGGGACCTGGAAAGATATGCCTAGTCCTAGCGTCCGAAGTACCCGTGTGGCAAGCCTCATACGTCTATGCTTCGATCATGACTGAATAGAGTGAGTGGGGCTCTACTTAGTCCGGTATCCGCGACCACTGTCTGGTCAGGTCACCTCCATCTGTAATAGACTGTAAGGTGATGTTCCTTAGTGGATAAGGCGGGGAAAACTACGAAAGTGGTAGGTTGGAAGGAAAGTTCCGTAGGAATACATGGCCAAGTGCCGAAGGCACCCCTCACATGTCTAGAAATCCAACATCTACAACAACCTGTGTTTTTTCTTTTTTTCTTTTTTTTTTAATAAAAAAACTAAGAATGAAAAAATAAAAAAATGAAGAGTTTGGCACAAACATGCTTCTTTTGTGGAGTTTATGTTTAGCCAACAGGACAACTCAAACATATGTCTAAAGATCCTACCAATACTGACCAGGCAGAGCAAACCAACTACCTCAGTTGGTTGACCCAAAGAGTGCCCCAGGCGGTCAGTGCAGATTGAACCCACGCCCTCCCTGACCGCCCCTTGCATGCCTAACCAAATGACCTACCTTAGGCGGCAGTTGTTATTTTTGGGGCAAGCGAAATGCCCCCGTCCTGACCAAATAACCATCATTCTGCAGTTCTCGGAGTGCTCTTTTGCAATTTCATCCTAGCACGAACTGTCCTAGCTCAGTTGGTATTGACTTATCGTGAGGGCAAGGGTGCGCAGCCCGTAGTTTGTTTGTTTATGTGGTCCGGGAAGGGTAAGGTATTGATTATGCTGTATGTATGCTTTGTCATGTTCGCTATACACAACTCGAAGAGTGTGTGTGTGTGGGGTGCCAGTTGGTGCTTTATTCACAATGTTCATGAGACGTTGGACCTAGTTTCCAGCAGGTGGCGCTCCCCATCAACTTGAATAGACAAGAGAATGTATATGTGTGTGTATGTGTGTGTGCGTGTGTGTGTGTGTGTGTGTGTGTGTGTGTGTGTGTGTGTGTGTGTGTGAGAGAGAGAGAGAGAGAGAGAGAGAGAGAGAGAGAGA